GAACCCGCACCTCCAAAGCCGTCGGAAGGAAAGAGAGCGAAGACCTCTCCACCTTTCTTCTTATACTCCTGGCTTACGTAAAAATCGTAGGGAATAACGGGTAATCTGGGCACTTCCTTGGTTACGAACTGGTCACCAAGGAAGGCCTAAACTACTACAACAAGCCTGACCTCTGGTAGCTAAACCAGCAGTTAGAAGGCTGCTGGAACTTTCAAAGCATTTCAATCTGAATTTTCCTTTGTTATTACTCATTGGTCCTTCTTCTAAGATCCCCACACACCCTGCAGGATAGCACTTCCTCATAGAACACATCAACACCACTCATCCTTGTTCCTCTAAAGTTGCTGTGAGAAAGGCGAGAGGTAGGCTAAGGACAGAATTTTGGAGCAAGCTGTTGAACAATTAAATGGGAGTTTTCCATGGAGAATACAGCACACCTCACACAGGTCATGCTACAACTGAGATAAAACTGACCTGAGCTGGACATACGCCACTGGCTCGCACAAAAGACTACGTCACAAACAGACACGTGTGCCAGCCTTCTAACACCAGTATCCCTGGCCAGAACACAGCTCTCATCAGCTTGGCATGAGATGCAGCAATAAAAATGTACGAGCATTAAGTGTGCTGTGTTTCATCCTCTAAACCTGCAGTTTCACTAACAATGGATATTTGGTTTAGCCTGGTGTATATTGGTATAGCCTGCACACTTCAGATTCTTATTATGCACTGCATAAGCATAAGCACATCTCATTTGAATGCTGCTACCCTTTAAAAAGACCACTTACTTTATGTAAACAGAAGAGGTATATTCAGAAGATACAGACCCAACTTTTCTCTCACTGCCAAACTGTTGCAGTCATTAATTACTTGCTGTCTGGAATGCCAAACAAAGCACCTTCCATTTTTAACATTTAACGTAGTAAGAGGCAAAACCAAATTAAAAGATAGTCACTTAGGTCTCAGCACCATCCTCTGCAATGGAAGGAGAGGATTTAAGATTGATGAGGCGTTTTCCATACTTACGCAGGGAAGTCTTACAAATGTTTACAAACAATCATCTGCTCCAAATGGTGTCTTCTCTGTTGATAGACTGCTCATATCCAGAAGGATGAATCAGCTGAAACCTGACTGCCAATTAATGCAACAGCCACAAATTCAGAAATTGGAACGTATTTCAAAACTATCACTAAGGTGATCTACTCTACATATTGCACGTTATCTCTTTGACACAACCCACGCCTTTGAAACTCAACTGAGCAACTGGTTCTGTAATCACAGATGGTTGTAGAGCATGTTTCTGGTTTCTCATGACTCAGAAGTTCACAAATTTCAAAAGAGAATTTTACCCTCTGAGCATCAATGTTCCTGCAAAATGAACTGTGTAGATATATGCAGCCTAAACTCAGGTACCTGCACACTGGAGTCGACATCCATTTGCACGCTTCAGAAGCTAAAATATAAAAGTCACAGACAATACACTAATTTTGTTTGAAAGGAGGTGTTGGAACATGAGAATATCTGTCCTGGGACACTGAATGCACAAAAACCACGTTTACCAGTGAAAGACAAGAAGGCATTCTTGTATGTTTTGGGGTTTTAGAAGTTATTGCTATTACATTGACTATGGCTACTTGATGAAATGAATAAGTATGAGGTGAATCAGAATGCTAATACACAGCAGAATTGAGAACAAACATTTGCCCAAATCCTTCCTGTTTTAAGAGTTTGTAAAGAGATTGCTAAACTTAGAAACGTGGGACAGAAGGACCACAATGACTGGCCCAAGTCTGGACCCAACTCAGAAACTGAGAGTTTTAGAACATCAATCCAAATCACTTTCCTATTGTATTCCAATATGAATCATGTGATTTCAGGGAAGATCTGGAACCAAAATAATTTTATTAGACTTTGCTGCGATCAGCAGACTGGACTAAGATATCAGTATGTCTCCTCCCTCCAGGCCATTTAAAGCTATGAACCAAGTGATACTTCTGATTCTGGGAAACCCTCTGAAAAACACCCTCATGCAGAACAAAAGGAAAAGAGCGCAGCTGCTGCATGTGTAGTTTCTATGGAGTTCTACAAAAAGTGGGTTTTCCACTCTACTCACTACCTACAAGCAGCAAGCACAGGAGAAGGGTGAAGAAGTTCTGCCATGGACAACTAAGTATTGGCTTGGAAGATACTGGACTGTGGTCCACAAAACTTGGAGAAGGTGTCTTAAATTCCACATACACACTGATATTTCACATGCCAATGGCTGTCTGTTGAGATATGCAGAAGCTGGGTCTCAAGAGTACTGGCAGACACTCATTTTTCTTACAAACACTTTTAAATGCAATCCTTATGAAGGTAAAATTGGGATTCTGTAGGACAAAATAATTTTGCCCAATTGCTAAGCACAATATTTTATCAGTAGTATTCTTTTGCCTGCCACTTCCATTCTAGTCACCAAACAATAGCTGGGAACAAGCTGATCTACCCTCAAAATCATTAGGTGATCACAAAGCTGAAAACAGTTACATGACACGGGCCCAAGTGCTGGCAATAAGCAAAGACACACAGCTCTACTGTGGCAGGGAACTGAAGAAAGAGGGTCAGGTTTCAAGACAGACCTAAGAGAGACAAAACTCCAGGAAAGCAAATTCCAGCCTGTAGACACAGGAGCCCCAGGACAGTGCTAATCTCTCAGTACTACAGACACTCACGCTAACCAGGAAATCTGTCTTGCTTCGAAGTCCATCCAGCTGCTGCACCACTCATTTAACACATAAAGCACCCTGTACCTGACAATTTCAGTGTTTAAAAAAAAATAAAATCTTCTCTCAAAAGATTATCTCTATTTCCACGATTATCTGCTGCCGTCCAAAGAAATGAGAAAATCCCCCAGCAACTCCTGATAGGGGTTCCTCATTCACAGGTCTTCTTTGTGGCCTACACTGTAACTAGAACTGTATTCTTGTCCTTCTGAAGGACAGCTCCCAGCTGTGCAACACACCAGACATGCGCCCTAGTGAGACAAGATCTGGATCTCCAGATGCACCACGCAGGTGACTGAAGATTTGCTTCAACTTCATCAGCAGTCATGGTGTTGTTCAGCTGTGGTGCAGGTTCTTGCTCCTTCTCACAAGCATGCACACCCTTCCTGCACAGAGACACAGACCTCTCAACACACATTCATCAGGTTGCACTGTCTGTACAAGGTTATTTTGTAGACAGCCTGCAGGGCTTAGCCACTTGAAAACATGAACTAGAGCTCCAGTGTAGTCTCCCCTGCAGCCTGATATGCGGTGTCATCAGGACACTTAAATTCTTGCATGTGGATGTGCTAAGTATCTGCAACCCTCAGTGATTTCGATCAAAACTGCTGAGCAGGTCAACTGAAGACAGAAGGACAAAACAGCTCCTCTACTTTTTTTGAATTAGAAAAAGAAGCGTAAAGGAAGACAACTTGTCTCTGAGTGCGTGCATGTTTTTGTACAAATCTATAAATTGTGTAAATTATGATTAATATTAAAGTTATATGCCCCGAGTCCTTTTTTAGGAAGGAAGATAAATATTCACTGTAAAAGTTTTAAGTTCAAATACAGAATGACAGTATCAACTAATATCATAACATCTCAAATTTGAGTGGCCCTTCACAAAAACTTTCAATAATTGTTTCTGATTTCAGAAACAATTCACATAGGCATTTGCAAATAGCTTTCCAATCTAGTAACAACCCTCATCAAGAAAATATATTGGTGAGATTTTGTACTAAATAATTTATGACAGACAACCAGTACTGCTAACCAGTGTGGACTTTCCCTGACAGAAGAAGGAGAGCTGCAGAATCCTTCTTTCCTACTGGCACTGGCTGGCAAAGCTCATGCTGTGATATCACTTCAGACAGACACAGTTATGCACCACTCCCATTAAATCTGGAGCACACATATCTCTGGCCTGCTCTCATTTCAACATTTTCAAAGGCTGCCCCAAATCTTTTTCTTTACTTTTTCTGAATAGCAAATAAGGAAAAAGAAAATGCTTTCCAAAAAGTATTATTTTAAAAAAAGCACTGGTATGAATCTCCAACAAGTATATGCCAATACCACGTGTTTTATTCACAGCTGTAGTGGCAGCAGCAGCAATGTTTCATCATATTTACCATATGGAAGAAAGAATAAACTGAAAAATAAATCTAACTCTCCTAGCACCATCAAACTAATATCTAAAGTCTACAGTTAAGATGCAAGAGTGCCAAACACTGTGATAGCTGAAATTTACAATCAGCAACTTAAGTTACTGAAACTTGAAAGTCTACTGAGAGCCACAAACAGCAGGGCACAAACCAATGCTACAGCCATAACCCAGAATTTTCAATTAATAAACTCATTTAGCTTAGGATAATTAAATGGACATGTGTTTTCCCCCTACTGTGTAAGGGAAGCCCCTGAAATCTGTTGGGTCTGGGTTTTTAAAATTTTTTTTTGCTTTAATCTGTTAGCTTTCCAAGAAGGAATACCTGCATTAATGAGCTAAACAGGAGGTGAACAGATACATATCTCTACAACAGGGAGAACTGAGGTCACTCCAGGCACCTTCGATATTTCTCGGGACTACTATTGTCACCATATACGCAAAACAGCATCTAACCTGTAAAAGCCCATCCCATCCTCTCGCTTTTCCAACTAATCGGCTGCAACCTTCTGCAAAGTTTTACTAAAGAAAAATACTCTCTTTCTTCCTGAAAGCTACCAAAAACATAAACACCTCTGTTGTATGGATACCTGTATTGGAAAATGTATTTTCCTCAAGAGAGAGGCCTAGGCTATGCCTGGGACACGAGTTATGTTCGAGCCCTGGGTTAATTAGAACTATTTTCACAGGTGAATTCCGAGAAAGCCACAACTGTTTAATGAAGGGGGGGGGGAAAAAGAAAAAAGAAAAACTGAATCTCGGCTTTTCCGCAGCTCCCAGTCAGAACCCAACAAACCCACGCCCTTATCCCCAAACACCTGGGTCAGGTACAGCAGCACGGAGAGCTCTGCCCACATCACGCTGCCACCTCCGCGACGCCCCAACCCAGGGAACGGCCGTAACGAAGGTGCGAACCCGACACCTCAAAAACGGCCCCAAGGGCCGCGTTTCCCCACAAGTTCCGGCAGGGCAGGGCAGGGCAGAGAAGCGGGGGCCTCCCCGCGGGGCTCCGGCGAGAGGCGACGGGCAGGGACCTGCGCAGCCTCCTCCTCCCCTCCGGAGCGGGGCCGACGCCCCAGCCCGCCCGCTGCGAGGCGGAAGTTCGCGCCGCCCGCCCGCCTGGAGGCGCCCCGCCCAGGAGGCCCCCACGGCCTCGCGCCCGCGGGGGTCACCGGCAGGGCAGCGCCGGACTGGCCCCAGCCGCCCGTCCCCGGGGGCGCGAGCGCCGCCCGCAACTCTCCCAGGCCCAGGGAGCGCTTTCAGAGGCGGCGCTCCCCGGCCACCTCCCCGCCCGAGGAGCGCTGCCGGCGGCACCGCCGGGCTGGCAGCTGGGCGGGCAGAGCCGGGCGCGTGCCAGGGGGGCCACAGAGGGGACGCGGGCCGCACCGCTCGCACCCCGCTCCTCTCCCGCGGGGCACCCGGAGAACCGCAGCACACCCTCCCCCCGCGCACGCCGCCGCGACGGGCTCAGCCCGGCTCGGCCCAGCGCGGCCCCGCGCCGCCCGGCCCCGCTGACCTGCCGTGCCGTGCCGGGCGGCGGGAGCGGCGGGGCCGCCGCTGCCGGGGCGCTGCGGACGGAGCGGGCGCGGGCGTGTTCGCGGGACAACGTGCTGCAGGAGTCAGCGCGGGGCGGGCCGCCGCGGGGCACCCTGGGCGCTGTAGTCCCCGCTGTCTGCCCGGGCGCGGGACAGCGGCGGCAGCGGACTACAGCTCCCAGTTCCTCCTCCCTCTCTCGCCCCACGCGGCTCCTTCCGCCGTCGGGCCGTTCCGCTCAGCTCCGTGTCCGCCAGGCTCCCGGCGGCTGATCGGGGCTGTACCCGCGGAGGGGCCGCCGCGGGTTATTGGGATTTCTGCGGGAGCCCCGAGGCGGAGCGGGAGCGTGCGGGAGTACCGTCAGCGGGTTTCGAAGCACCTTCAGCGTCCCTGAGAGGCAGGGGCCTTCTGGCCGGGAATGGAGCCACGTCCTCTTTGAGGCTGCTCTCCCTGGCCAGCTGAAGCAGCTCAGCGGCCGCTCTCACCCGAGCCCAGCTCGGTGCGGGAGGTCCGGCTTGGTACCGACCCTCCAGTCCTAGGCTGTGAGCCAGCAGCGGCCAGCGGTCCTGCCGTGGCTGCCGGCGGCTGTGTTGTGCTGGCCCACGCGTGGCTGTTCTTACGAGTGCTTTGGAAATGTGTAAAGATGTGAGGGAACCCGTAGGTGTGGGACTGCACGGGGTGTCCGTGTGAAAACATGCCGTGGTCGTGGGTCTAATGGAGATTGAAATCGGAGGGAAATCACACTCCAATCGACGTCATCTCCGAAGCCATCCGTGACTTCCTCGATGTGCAGTCCTGCTCTTGCCACGGCTGTTCTGGCGGTTCCCTTTCTCTGTTCACAGCGGGCCTCTCTGCTGCTGGAGAAGAGTTAATGTTTCTCACCCGAAACCTGAAAAATCTATGTTGCACCACCTGTTCAAGCACAGCTGGCATTCAATCATACTTCAGATTACCAGGCTGACACATACAAATCTTTTATTGGTCAAGAAAACATTTTTTTCTGGAAAGATGTGTCGAGCTGATTATAGCGACTGATTGTTGTCTCTGTCCCTTTTCCTTCTTTTTTCTGTTTCTGGTAGCTCAATGATAGTATTGCTAAAGCACCCCTTTAGTCTAAGCACACATCTGTTTTCTTAATACATTTTCATTAGAACAAATTTGGGGATATGTTTTCTGATCTTTTCTTAACTTTTCTTTGCTTCACAGCCGGGGTTAGTTTAGGATTGGGCTGAGCTTTGGAAGTATGTGGTATGTAGAAATCAAGTCCAGACATGTTGAGACAGTTGGGAATTTTACTTCCCATTTTGTGTAGTAATAGTTTCAGTTTGCTGTAAAAGCACAGAGCAGGCATTTCATCTGTGAAAATAATGAAATCAAAACACCAAGTAAGGTATAAGCTATGCAGACCAGACCTTCAATTCTGGGGGAAAAAAGCCATCCAGTGTCTGACAGAAAAGGAAGAAAAATTCGCTTTGAGCATTTTAATCTAGTGCTGTTCAACCAATTCCAACAAACACGTTTGGGGTTTTTTTCCCCACAACTGGTCACTGAAGGCCACCGAGAAAGATGGGACACTACTAAGTAAAAGAACAAATTGGTTGCTGCTTTTGGGGAGCATGCGAGATGGCTTTCTTGGTATCCAAGGACATCTGCCCTTTGAGTAGTGCCATTTCTAGATGCAGCTGTTCCCTGCTGACCACAGCTGCTTTCTTCTGAGTCTGCTTCTAATCCCACCTCTTCCACACATCGGCCTTGCCCTACCACAAGCTTTCCATGGCATTGGATCCACTGTGGGGCTGTCCTGTAGCAGGTATAACCCTGTGAACGTGTGCTAAGCAGCACGTGAGAGGCCTCATTGCTCAGCAACCTGGATCTCAAGTTGCAGTAGTGTCTCTTACACAGCTGACTGCAGGTTTTATTCTCTTACTCAGACTTGCTCAACTATCAGTGTGTGCCAGGTTTACACAAAATTTGTTATTTGCATTATAATATATTTGGTTCAAACTGTATGTCCTAAGTGACTGTTCTGCTTTTTTTAGCTGAGCTCCTCCTGCTGCACCACCGCTGCACACCGCTGGTGTTTTGTGCAAACTCTGTGAATCCCTTGATAGACTATAGATGTGTTCCCAAGCTTTCCACTGCTTCAGCTGCAAAAGTTCAATGATTTTTTAGTTAGAGCTTGGGGAGCACTGCCCTAGCCTGCAGGAAGGACCTCACCTGATCTGATCTGATCTGATTGGCAAGCCCTGTCTGTGTGGGAATACCGTGAACCTTGCTGACCTGTTTTTCCTTTAGCTCATGATACTTTACCCTGATTATGTGAACAGTGTTGGTGCTTTCATGTATGATTACTTCAGGCAGTGTTTCCTTTGCTGGCTCAGCAAGAACTGCGGTGGTTGAACGTGCCTTTACAAGGACCAAGGCAAGATGCAGGTCTCTACTGACACAAAACAGTGTGGCTGGAGATTCTGCCTGTGCTATTTCAGCCTGGGCTGTGGTGCACAACACTTCTGAAAGTGGAGAGGGAGTGCTGAGATAAGAGGAAGTTTATCAAACAGTGAAGACCTCTGCCAGCACTATTGTTAGAGGTGCCCTTGTGCTAGGACTGTGCCAGGGATCCTTCTGAAAGCTGTGATGTCTCTGTGGGAGCCTGTGTGACTGTACTGGTCTGTATTTAGAGAGGGTTGTGGTAATTAAACGATCCATTTATTAGCAATTGCAGGATGAGTCACTGTTGTCTGCTAAGTGGCCTAGTGTAACATGTAAATTCTTAATATTTATTTTTAATACTTCAAATGTCTTCTTTAAATGTTGCCATTGACGTGGGATTGTTTTGAAATCAATGGCAAATGCCAGCAGTGAAGAGAGTGCTTGGTAGGTGATTCATGGATTTCTTCAGTGTTTCAACTCTACTGAAAATGCTCTTTTTTTTATATTGAGACTAAGCCTCACTAAATGATTGCCAGCCACAATGCAGTATATCTGAAGTAGTTTTATTGTGTAGCGAGTCTGAAAGTCTCCTCATGCACATGCCACTGTTCTTAGGCATAGGTGTTTCCAGGATGGGGTAGGAGCAAGGACAGGAAGTTAAGTGCACTTCTGCCTGCTCTCTCTTCCTCTCTCTTTCCTTCTTTCCCTTCCATCTCTTTTTCTCTCTTCTCTTTCTTTTTCTTGACAAGTTATTTTTACATGAGGTTTCTAGAGAACTGATAGTAGTGATGGTGACATTAGCTAGAGTAGCTCAATTGTCTTCAGTGATCTCTGGTTTGTAGGCAATAGAGACCCGGTGCAACATTTGCATCAGCCTCTGAACAGATTGCCAGGGAAGTCACCAGGCTGATTCCTGGATGGCCATAGGTCTGTCCCTGTCACAACAGGTTCTTAAGAACTTGTAATAACAAGAAATTCAACACTACCACCAAAACAACTCTACCATTAAAAACTGAGCATTAGGAAGGTTGTTCCAGCGTCTGACCTAAACTCGTGTTTGCTTGCATCCAAGTCCAATAGCTCATGCCCTGCTCTCTGTGGGTCTGGAGGACAACTTTCTTGTCACGTCTCCTCTTGCCTTCGCTGCATTAGGGAGCCTTACGATTTTCTCCACAAGTCCCACCCTCATGGACACTTGGCTGGGGGCCGTACTGCACAGTGCCTGGAAAACGCCCCTGGGCCCATCCTCGCTGACTCCCCCCCATCCCGCCGAACCCTCCCCGCCACCTCCGCCATTCCAGCCCCGGGGCCGGCCCGGGCCCTCTGGGGCGGGCGGTGGCGCTGCCGCGGGCTGCGGCGCCCTCTGGCGGCCGCCCGCCGTCAGCGCAGCAGCGGGGGCACCCCCGCGTCCCACCCCCTTCCGCTTCGCTTTCCTTTCCTGGCGTGACTGTGGGAGAGACCACCTATCCGTTCCAGACTGCGAGGCAGAAGAAGAAAGCAGAGGCGCAATGACTGCCAGCTCCGCTGAATTTATTTGACCGTCCTCCCTGGAGGAGACGCAAGTTTCTGGCATTTCATTCTCATTCGCTGCATGTTTGTTATCGCTCAGCAAAGCACCCGAGGCCCAGCTCCAGCGTGCTTCGCTCACTCGGATCGCGAGTACGGAGTATATTCACGTTCTCCGAAACAGCAGCATCTAAACCGCGCACAGGGTGCCGAGAGGGAAGTTGGAGTGCAGTTCTGTGCGACCAGGAGGGATGCAGCCCTTCTGTCCCTCAGGCAGTGCAGAGATGGCAGCCTGCCATGGCAAGATTTCCAGACAGACCCAGTGCCCTCTGTGTCACCAGTGTATCTGCTCCTGAGGCTGGGAAAGTCTTGGAGTTGTTCCTTCAATGCTGCTTCAACAACTAAGCTGCTGTATGTGGCTGAACTGGCTCCAACAAAGCTGATTTGGTGAATCAGAAGAACCAAACGACACACTGGACTAGCTCAACCGCCTCT